AATAAACAACACATACCTATCGTATAGAAAACCTAACACTAACCCCTTGTATATACACCCTAAGTCAAACCACCCTCCATCCATAATTAAGCATATACCCTCATCAATAGAGAAAAGAATCAGCATTAACTGCGCTAATAAAGAAATATTCCAACAACACAGTAATTTTTATAATGCAGCCCTAAAAAATAGTGGATACAAAAATGCTAACATCAATATAGAAACAATTGTACTAACCAGAAGAAAAATGGAAAAGAAAAATCATTTGTTATACCCCTCCGTTCAACCAAATGGTTAGTATTAAGCTAGGACATAAATTCCTAGCTTTAATTGAAAAACACTTTTCTACAAATAGTAGACTTAGTAAAATGTTTAATAAAAACACCCTAAAATTAAGTTACAGTTGCATTGGAAATCTAGAAAGTATAATACAATAACAAAATAATAAAATCCTGCATAAACCCCCATGCCAGAATAGTATTAATAAAAACCCTACATTTAAATTAGACAAAAATAGTGAAAAATTATGTGATTGTAGAAATCCAGAAGACTGCCCATTGGAAAATATATGCCGCGTAAAATCTGTGGTATACCAATGTACTATCTCATCCATTGAGTGTTTTAATACTAATATGATATACATTGGGTCTACGAAGAATGAATTTAAAACCAGGTGGAGACAGCATAAGGGCTCCTTCAACAATATTAATAAAAGAAATCAGACATCTCTATCTAAATATTTTTGGCATTTGAAGGAAATGAATAAAATACCAAAAGTAAAATGGAAAATTATAAACAAACCTAGAACTTGTAAAACTTGGGATGACCCATGCCCTTTATGTTTACATGAAAAACTACACATTATCAAGTTTCTAAATAATGAAAATTTATTAATAGACATGAGTTAATGGTTTTTTGCCGACATCATCAAATTTTCGCATTGAATAATTAGCATAAAAAACAAACAAACAATAAAATAATAAATACAAATTTTAAACTCCATAGTCTAAATAAAAAGCTTAAAACCCTACCCAATAATAATAAAAAAAAAAAACCTTCTATGAAGTCGTCAATAAAACCAAATGTTACCGAATTATGAGAGTTTTTTTTATATACACAAAACCCTTTCAGGTAAAAGAAAAAAAAAAAATGGAATAAAATAAAATAAAAAAAAAAAAATCTCCATAGATACTTAACCAGTCTAGACGATGTCATCTTCCGCTTTGAATTTAGACACCCCAACCTTACCCTGACTTGACCTCTTTGAATGTAACTGAGATATTGATACAAATTATTAAACTCTTACGCCCCTTTGTTTAAATAATTTCTCTAGCCGTTACCATCGTAATTTTAATTTTAATAATGAATATGCTTATAAAAACGCGTAAATTTCAAGAATTACTCATTCAAAAAAAAATTCGCTTGAAGATAGAACATAGCTTGGTACTTTAATTCAATTTAATTCAAATACTTAAACTGAAGTTTGCGGCTCTTGTTTTGAGACATGAGAACTCTTATGTAGCTATGGAATCATATTTCTAAATGAATAATTACATATATATATATATATATATATATATATATATATATATATATATTATTATAGAACCATCCTCATTCTCTTCATGTTCCATTGGCAAGACGTAAGCTCCAAATGCAGATTCTCCCTGCAGACCACTGCTCTTTGGAACCGCCTCCGAAGAGGATTTCTCCCGATCACTACAATCTTAACCTGTTCAAGTCTAGGATTAACCGTTATCTTACGCACATATTTGCATAAATTCTGCCTCTTACTCGGTAACCCTCTACCTCGAGTGACTCCCGGGCCTTGTACAGGATAAAGCTCACTCTAACATAACTGGTTGAATGACTTCATGAGTTCAAGCGCCCTACGAGGCTGGCATCCCTTCACTATCGAAACTCCTAAATGTAGCCGTCTCTTCTACTCCAATAGCTTCATGTCTCGCACCTCTCGCCTGTGGAACTCCCTTCCCTATTCCTGTTTTCCTGTGAGCTATAATCTCCAGCTATTCAAGTGTAATGTCAATCGACATCTCCAGTTGCCTTGATCTATCCAATACCCTCATCCTTTCTTCTATCACTCCTATCGGATCTTGCTATTTTCTGTAACCCCTTGCGTCCTAGTGGCTTCCCGCCTTGCTTGGGGTGAAATGCTTAAAAAAAAAAAAAAAAAAAAGAATAATATCAATAAGTTCTAAAGCCTTTTATTAACTTTTTCAGATTTTCAATTTGAGTTTTATGTAATCAGTAAATGTACCAATGTTTATTTTTACATATATATATATATATATATATATATATATATATATATATATATATATATATATAGATACCTAGTGAGCCAGACAAACCTACCTATTTTCACCTAAACGGATCGTCAGGAAAGTTTTCCCTGACGATCCGTTTAAATGAAACTTAGGTTTTGTTTAACTCACTTATGTATCTAGGTCTATCTACGGTTGTATTGAGCTCTTTTGTTAGTTAGTTGTTACTCGTATCGGGTTTTTTTTCTTTGGGCTTCAGACCTGCATCTGTGCGATTTTTTTGTCGGCAGAAGTTCATGTTTGTAGCTCTTTCTTTTTTTTAAAACCTTTTTTCCCTCGAGATTGATTTGATTAGCAAATAAAAAAATTCAGGATTTTAGAAACGAGTTATCTATATTATATATATATATATATATATATATATATATATATATATAATATATATTAAAAAAATTATTAATTATTTTTAATAATATGTGAAATCTCAAGCTGAGCCAGATGAAGGCCACGAGAATGAAAAAAACGAGTAGCAAAATTGTGGAAAATAAAGCATAATATTTAAAAAAAATCCATTACAAACAAAAACTTTTTGCCGTTTCTCTCTCCTTTTTATACACACTTTTATCTCGTTGGAACTACTATAACCTCTTCTTTTATATATATATATATATATATATATATATATATATATATATATATAAGAATATATACACACTAAATTTGAAGCCACCCCAGTAAAAAAAAAAAAATGTAAAAAAGTTCTTATAGCCATTGAAAATAGAATGAAATCATTTATTAAACTTATACTTTGAGAAACTTTTTTGAAAAAATGTGCTGCAGTAATCACGGCAAAAGGATCATATTTTGATCAGAGCAAAATTTACTCATAAAAAAACTTCTATTTTTTTCTAATAAAAATCATGTCTAACTTTTTTTTTGATCATGTATAATAATTTTCTCTTATTTAAAAGTACAAAACACCTACTTGTTGTTCCGATTTAGAAAATTACCTGGTGTGGCCTCAAACATTTGAACTGTAATATATATATATATATATATATATATATATATTGATTTTAAAACACTTATAGTTTCGACATTAATGTAAATAAATCAGTAAAACCAGTATATAAAGAGAGTTCATAAATTTTCAGTACATTTAAACTTCATGGAAATTGAAAAAAATGAAGATAAATTCACATCTTTTATTGAAAAACATCGATAAACAAATAACGTTTTATTTGAAGACATCAGAAGACTTCCACATGAGCTCCATTAGTTGCAAGCAACACATCTTCACGATGCATAGATTTTTGTTTTTGGAAGACACTTTGTTTCCATAAACTTGAGGAACAGATGCTCGGACGATTTGGCGTTTATTTTTCCATAATTTTTACTAAAATGGCGCTCGTGTTGAATGTGTGATTAAATCTCTATGAACGAGAATAAACATTACGCTTTTCTCCTACGGTATTAATTTTCATAAAAAAAATCTGGTATCAATTCTAAGCACTTTTTAATCTACATGAAAAGACAAACGACAGTGAATTAAAAAAGAACAAGCTATATATTAATTAAACTATAATATAATATTTCTTTAACAAGGAAAGGTGTGCATCGATGGATCTTAACTAGACACAAGGGTTCAATAATGAATGGCGACAGTCTGTTTCATGCTTTTGGCATTAAATTTTCACACCACATTTAGTGTCGCTTCCAGTACATTTATTGTTTAAATTTTCTAAATCCATAATTTTTCGAGGGTTTGAGTATGCTGGCCTTATTCGGATTGTTGTTCACGCTAGATAACATGTTCTTCCCAGACACTGTAACTAAGGCCTGTTCATCATAGTTAAAACACAGGTCAGCTCTGTGGGTGCTGAACAAACATAAATATGCCTCAGCCAGCGTATGCAATAGGGATTGGTTAGCGCCCTAATAGAGGGGTATTCTCAAATACGAATGGCCAACTAGTATTATTATTATTAAATATATTACAAGCTTTATTCGAAAATCGGCCATTATTTCCCGAACAACCCAATAATTCAATAGCTGAAAGCGATTGATATGTTTAACAAAGATGACACTTTAATAATTAGGGATGAATAATATATTTTTGTACCACAGATATAACAGATTAGAACAAAATTAAAAAGTTGATTCTAAAATCTGGCATTAATTTCAAACAAGCTAATATATATCGAAAGAGTTATGAGACATCATATATACAGTTAGTATATATATATATATATATATATATATATATATATATATATATATATATATATATATATATATATCTTAGATCCAGGAACAGTGAAACACGTGCGTTGCGCACACACACACACACACACATATCTGTGCAATTCTCCAAGAGTATAAATTACTTTTTTCAAAGACTTCTCTCTCGCTCTATTTATGATGACTTATCATTTAATCTAAACAACAAATAAACATCGTTTTATCTTGACTTCTTCAAAATACAAACTCAGCCTTCATGTCTTTATTTTGGCCTTTTCATATTTCCTGCTAATTTCTCATTTTTTCGTTTCCTTCTTTTTCTTTCTTTCTTTCTTTATTATTTATCGTGTCTTTTATTTTTCAGGTTCTTTCATAATTCTATTCTAATTTAATTTCTATGTCTCTTTCTTTCTTTCTTTCTTTTTTCTTATTCATCCCGTCCTTTTTTCATCTTATCTTTTCTTATTCATCAAGTCAGCTTATTTTTCATTTTCTATTCTAAATTTGTTCTTTCTTTCTTTCTTTCTTTCTTTCTTTCTTTCTTTCTTTCTTTCTTTCTGTTTTCTCCTTTTTTTTTATCTCTATTTTGTCATTCCCTCCAGTCTTAATTTCTTTTTTCAGCATTCCCTTTAAATTTATTCTGAGTTTTTCTTTCTTTCCTTCCTGCCAATTTGTCATCTTTTCTTTCTTTCTTTCTTTCTTTCTTTCTTTCTTTCTTTCTTTCTTTCTTTCTTTCTTTCTTATTCATCCTCTGCTTTCTTTGACCAGCTTTCATTCTCCTTCTATTACAATTTTTCTTTCTTTCTTTCTTTCTTTCTTTCTTTCTTTCTTTCTTTCTTTCTTTCTCATTAATCTACTCCTTTCGTTTTCTCATTCTATTCTAAATTCTTTGTTTCTTTCTACGTGTGTCGTATTTTTTTTTCATTTTTCAGGTTTCTTCCTCCTTCTATTCTAATCTAATTTCTTTCTTTCTTTCTTTCTTTCTTATTCATCTATTCATTTTTCCATCGCATTCTATATTTAAGTTTTCTTTTTCTTTCTTTCTTTCTTTTTTCTCTTTCATCTAGTCTTTTTTTTTCATCTTATCTTTTCTTATTCATCCAGTCAGCATTTTTGTTTCAATTTATATACTAAATTTGTTCTTTCTTTCTTTCTTTCTTTCTTTCTTTCTTTCTTTCTTTCTTTCTTTCTTTCTTATTAATCCTCCAATGTCTTAATTTCCTTTCTCAGTATTCCTTTTAAATTCATTCTAAGTTTTTCTTTCTTTTTTTCCTGCCAATTTGTCATCTTTTCCTTTCTTTCGTTCTTTCCTTCGTTCTTTCTTTCTTTCTTTCTTTCTTTCTTTCTTTCTTTTTTATTCTTTCTCCTTTCTTTTTTTTTATTCATTGTCTCCTTTCTTTCTTTTTTTTTTTTTTTTTCTTTGGAGGATTTCATTCTATTCTAAACTAATTTGTCTCATTCTTTCTTTTTTCTTTCATTCTTTGTTTCTTTCCTATTCCTTGGTTCCTTTCTTCTTTCTTTTTGTAGGTATGGGTTTATCCTATTCTGATCTAATTTGTTTCATACTTTCTTTTAATCTTTCTTTCTTTCTTTCTTTCTTTCTTTCTTTCTTTCTTTCTTTCTTATTCATTGTGTCCTTTCTCCTTTCTTTTGTGGAGGATCTCATTCTATTCTAATTTAATTTGTCTCATTCTTTCTTTTTTTCCTTCTTTCTTTCTTTCTTTCTTTCTTATTCATTGTGTCCTTTCTTGTTTTTTTGTGGGTAGGGGTTTATTCTATTCTGAACTAATTTGTCTCCCTCTTTCTTTCTTTCTTTCTTTCTTTCTTATTCCATTTTAACCTTCTTTTCTTTCTTTCTCCATTTTTCTTTTGATTCCTACATTTCCAGATTTCCTTTTTTCATTTTCCTTCCTTCCTTCCTTTCCTTTCCCTTCCTATTCTTTCTTTCTTTCTTTCTTTCTTTCTTATTTATCCAATTTAATATCCTTTTTCTTCTTTTTTCTTTCTTTCTTTCTTTCTTTCTTTCTTTTTTTTCTTTCCTGTTGTTTTATTTTTCTTCTTTTCTTTCCTATCTTTTTTTCCATTTTCTTTGTTTCCTACTCCATTTCAGATTTCCTTCTTTTCTATTTGCTTACTTTTTCTTTCTTTTCTTTCTTTCTTTCTTTCTTTCTTTCTTTCTTTCTTTCTTATTCCATTTTAACCTTCGTTCTTTCTTTCTTTCTTTCTTTCTTTCTTTCTTTCTTTCTTTCTTATTTATCCTCTCCGTTTTTCCTTTTGTTTCAGATTTCTTTCGCATTCTATATCAACGATTTTCTTTCTTTCTTTCTTTCTTTCTTTCTTTCTTTCTTTCTTTCTTTCTTTCTTATCAGTTCAAAAGAAACCTCTCCTCTTACGAACTACCCTTTTCTCTATTTCCCTTCACCGTCTCCCCTTTTGTTTCACCTATTATATCAACTTTTCTTTCTCCTTTTTTCTTTTTTTCTCTTCAACGTTGCAGGCACGAAAAGCCCATTTATCATCTCGACCATCGACTCAAATCAAAACATTCCCTGCATTCTCTCTCACATTGCATATCAATATTTATAAACAGACGTTAAATAAATCTTATCCATCGTTGTACTTACGTATTCAATGAACAAATATTTAGACAAAACGCTGAATATTTGAACGATTATCATCCGAACTTGACTAAATGCTTATTTTTTTTTTCTGTTAACGAAGTTATATGACGAAAGTTTCTTTGGTAACACCTCAGATATGCCAAGACGCTGTCATTAATTTTACATTGAATTGTAGATTTACGAAATATTTAAATCTACATCGTAATACATTATTCAGATCACTGATGTCGGCAGTATTTTATTGAACAGGTACATTAGACACGTATTCTTTCAATGGAAATGTTTATATGAAATTCATCCTTTGTAACTCTTAGTAAGTTTTCTCCTCTCAGCAAGATTTCGACGCTCTTCGCGGTACATTTACACAAGATGGCTGACTCTCCATTTCTCTATCTCTTTCTTGCTTTCAGGATGTGCTGTGAGTGTCAAATTTTCCGAGCCTTCTTTTCTTATGTTTCCTATAGTTCTCTTCCATTTTCCGTAAGACAGCCTCGTTAATCACATGTTCGGTCCATGGTATTCTGTAGAACCGCTTTTTCATCTGCTTCAAGTCTCTTCTTCCTCTGTGAGAAGAGTGTTTAGCATTTACGACCATATATGAGAATTGATATTATATAACAGTTTGCTCCTTTCTCCATTTCTATTGCTTTCAGTACGCCCTGTGAGTATCAAATTCTTCAAGCTTTCTTTTTTCAATTATGTACCCAAGACATTCCAATGCTCCCTTTTTTTATTCTAATTATAATGACCCTTTTTGTTTCCATTTCACTTAAAACCTCCTCATTACTCACATGTTCGGTTTATGGTATTCTCATCATCCTTCTGTAGACCCACATTTCTGTGTCCTCTCCGTCACCTTTTCATCTGTGGGGAAATATCATTGCCATATAATAGGACTGATGTTACATAACATTTCAGCTCTCTTTAATTTGTTTCTAAAGAAAACGTTCCTATTTCCTAATACTTTGTTTAGCTTCTGGAAGGCATCTTCTCAGACAGGGTAAATTTCTACACTTATACGCAGGTTTTAGATATAATGTTCTCGAACGAAAAAAAAATAACACTTCGTTTCTATCAAGCCTGAGTGTTTAGAGGCAAATTTTTCATGTGTGGCTCGCCTTAATTTAAAAAAAAAACAAAACACCTTAACAAATTCTATCACGAACGAAGTGAAGACGCGAGACAAAAAAGACGGGGTTCTACAGAAGGATGCTTAGAATGGATTGGATATGTGTGCAACGAGAAAATTCGAAGAAAAATAAAAACAAAAAGAATACTTTTAAGCAGAAAAAGAAGGTTGAAAATTTAGCGGCACATTATTAGTAAAAAAAAAATATTGGGAAATTTAAAACACTAGGAAAGTTAGTAGGACAGAGAGAAACAGCGAGAAAGTTACATGGCCAGGTTTTGAAATGCCTGGCCGGATATGAACTGGAAGAGAGAGAAAGAAAGAAAGAAAGAAAGAAAGAAAGAAAGAAAGAAAAAGAAAGAGAGAAGGAGAGAGAGTGAAAGAAAGAGAAAGAAAGAAAGAAAGAAAGAAAGAAAGAAAGAAAGAAAGAAAGAAAGAAAGAGAGCTATAGAGAAAGAAGGGAAAAAGAGCGAAAAGAAAAGAAAAAGAAAGAGGGAGAGAGACTGGAAAGAAAGAAAGAAAGAAAGAAAGAAATAAAGAAAGAAAGAAAGAAAGAAAGAAAGAGAGCTATAGAGAAAGAAGGGAAAAAGAGCGAAAAGAAAAGAAAAAGAAAGAGGGAGAGGGACTGGAAAGAAAGAAAGAAAGAAAGAAAGAAAGAAAGAAAGAAAGAAATAGAGCTATAGAGAAAGAAAGAAACAAACAAACAAACAAAGGGAGAGAGAGAGAGAGTAGACATTGGTTAGAGCTAGAAGGGATAGGAAGTCTTGGAGAGCCATAATCGCCCCACGTTCTCGAGGGACGGGACACAGAAAAGAACATCTATCTCTCCATTTAAGCCGGCATATGTTTTTTGGCTTCGCATATATATCTGTGTTCCGTTGATGCATGCGTATATTGATATACATTTTCGTTAGGGCCACTCAAATTATCCAGAAATAAAAGCAAAGGCAACGCGTTGAAAAGAAATGCTTGAAAAAATAATTTTCAGACGATAGCGGGCATCCTGACCATGAAAAGATACAGAAAGAAATATATTAATAAAACTATAATAAATTCTTCAAAACTTCTATAATGAAAAAGATTTAATGAAATAAAAAAATAAAATAATTCAGAAAAATCTTCTCACACTTTTCTTTCAGACAAAACGAAAAATGTCACAACCAAATATACGAAACTAAAAATAAAGAAATTGTACTCGAAGACAGAATGAAAACAAAAAAACTAACCGATGATATGAACAATGATTTGGAGATACCAAAATCAAGCGAGTACGAATATTTAATTATTAAAAAAAGTTTTAATTGATGACGGAGAATTTGAGACCGAAATCTTGCAGGCGTATTACAATTACGTAAGATCCCTTAATTTAGTAACCTTGTCCCAGTCGTCTGGTGTTATGTGTTCTGTTATAAAGTTTCTAAGGGAAAATAAATCCTGCGTATATTTTATTATTTGTAGAAAATGTTGATTTTAATATTTTTATCTGTACCTTGCATCTTGTTGTTGTTGCCTTAGAAAGAAATAATCTAGTATGGTTATCTATGAGGTCGTTTGGAAAACCGTTATTAGCAAGCGTCTAAAACTACGAACATGACGTTGCACTTTCCATGTTTGAAAAATTGAAAAACATTCTCCTTACTACAGATACACATATATAAAAATTCACATATTAAGTTATTTATTTTTAAAAAAAAATCCTTGAAAATGGCTAATTGAGTAGCAGAGAGTGCTCGGATTTATAGAACATCTGGACAATTTTTACAGATTTTGGGTCCATTAAAATATCGTTATTACTTTTATATATATATATATATATATATATATATATATATATATATATATATATATATATAAATATAATTCCATTGCTAATAAATATAATTTTGAATGATTTTGAATGATTAATCTAATGGTTAGTTTCTAGTTTATATATATATATATATATATATATATATATATATATATATGACTAAATATAATAACACAAATAACAACTTGTGCAATTGCAGGTATGTCAATTTTATATTTTAAAAATAAATTGAATTTGAAACTAATTTTTATTTTACATATATATATATATATATATATATATATATATATGTAAATAAAATATATATATATATATATATATATATATATATATATATATATATATATATATATATATATATATATATATATATGTATGCAAGTGTGTGTATGTATATTTTGTACTTGTTTTACTTATATATGTGTTTACATGTTTATGTGCATAGATGTGGGGGTATATATATCTGTATGTGTAATTGCATGTGTGTATGTTTAGTCTATGTATGTATATATGAATATATCTGTATTTTTAGTTATACTTATCAATATATACATATGTCTGTATTGATACCTGTTATACATGTGCTTGTTTGTATATTTATGCGCTTGTATATGTATGAGTATGTAAACTTATGTACGTATGTGCATCTGCGTGTATATATATATATAAATATATATATATATATATGTACATGCATATATATATATATATATATATATATATATATTTGTGTGTGTGGGTGTTTGTATATTTATATATGTGGGTGTATGCGTGTATATATATATATTTATATGTGTATATCTTAGTGTTTTGTATTATCAATGCTAACTATAAACTACTTTTGATTGATAATGGCTTTATAATTGCTTTGGTTTTAATAATCATTAAATTTTTAAATCATTAAATAAGTTAATAGTGTAGATTTAACAATTTTGTCTTCTTACATTTTAATCTTGTATGGATTTTACTGTCCTTTATTGTCATTTGGATAATATTATTAGTACATATAGGTTTTATATATATATATATATATATATATATATATATATATATATATATATATATATATATATATATATATATATATATATATAGAAAAAACTGTGTAATCCGTATGGGTAAACCTCAGGAGGATAAAATCCAGAGTGCTCAATGTGTTTAGTAATAAATCCGGATCTTTATGTTTTTTATTATGAGGATTTTTTAGTAGTAAATCTTTATGAACACCCAAAATAACACTTTCAAAGTAAAACAAAATAACAGCGTCTGTTTCTAGCCTTTTTTTTTACGAAGAAAATTAGTGACACCTCTTATGACTTCCTTCTCACTTTTTTTCTCTATAAGTTTTTTCTCCTCTACCCCTTCGATATCAATATATAACTTCCGTTAAGTTAACCGTTTAAATGTGTCAATATCTGCTAACTCACTCATGTCTTCTCTCTCCCCCCTCACTTCCTCACTTCGTTAATTTACATATGTTTAATACGGCCCGTCAAAAATGTGTAAAGTAAAGTCTGATGATCCGCAGTCCTTTAAAAGAACTGTGGTGAAATAATTTATTACATGGAACCTTAAAGTGGTCTGTTTTTATTTGATATATATATATATATATATATATATATATATATATATATATGTGTGTGTGTGTGTGTGTGTGTGTGTGTGTGTGTGTGCAGGGTTGTATTTATGTATAATCATGTATGTGTTTATGTATATATATGTATATGTTTGTATATATGTATATATGTATGTATCTATATGTATATGTCTGTGTATGTGTGTATATATGTATGTATATTTATTTTATTTAATTTTATTCATCTTTTTTATGTTGCTGTGTAGGTTGATATATTTATTTCTATGTGTGTGTATATATGCGTATGCATATATTTTTGTGTATGTATGTATATATGTATATATTGGTATATATATGTCAATAGGTATATGTGTATGTATATGCATGTGCGTAGGTATACTTTTGTATGTTTCTGTTTGTAGTGAAGAATGTGTGTACACATACGTATGTATGTATTTTTTATATTTTTTTCACGTATTGCTATATATTTATACTCGTGTATGTGTACTAATGCGTATATAAGTATATATGATATATATATATATATATATATATATATATTTATGTGTTTAGGAGTTTTCTATTTTATATATTAATGTTATTTTTAAGTGTTACACTTTGCCTGCACAATTGAATTTGATGTTTACTTACGTGTGTAATATATTTATTTTTCTATCTATTTCTATTTTTTAGTGTCTTTTTTTCTCATGTTGTTTATTGACGAATATTTGTTTTTCTATTCAACCCCTATTAAATTTTATCAATTGAACCATTTTTATCTATATATCTTTGCCCATGTAAGTTATATCTTAATAGTATGTTTGAATTCGTTTAATAAAACTTCCAAATTTGAATATTTCTTGGTGTGTATATGTGCCTGTCTTTATCAATGTAAGTGTGTATAGTTGTTTATATGTGCCTTTCATTGTATGTATATGTTGTCGTTTTTTTAAGGGTCCTGAACACCTATTTCTTTTTTCGTCCTTTTTTTTTTGCATGTTCATATATCTAAATATGTCTACGTGTTTGTGTATTAAATTTTGATTGTGTACGTATTGTCTTTTGCAAGATTTCACATTCTCCTGCCCACATCATCATTTCAAATGTATCTAAGTTGTAACAGACCTGAGAGCAACATCAGATTTTAACGTTTATCCCAAATTAAATTTTGGTCTTTCAATAAAAACAAAATAAATAACAAAACATATGTATTTTTTTCCTCAGTTTCTTCTTTAAATAATTTTATAATTTTTTTAAGTTAATATCGATTAAATTTAAAATTGGTAATTTTTAATTTTTAATTTTATAGTAAAATTTAATATTAATTAGTTTTAGTCTAACCCTAACATTAAAGCATTAAATAATTATTATACCCAAAGTCCGTTGTCAAGTTTTTTGAATTTTCATATACTTGTATTTTGATTGGTCATTCCAGCTTATGTAACAGCGTTTCCCCTAGCAAGGGATGTTTCATTAATTTGAACCTTTTAAAACCCTTTATTCTACATTCAACAGCATCACTTGATAAGACACCAGTAGTGTTGAAACAAAATGGCTATTTTTGTAGTGATTTTATAAAATATGTAGGCTATCATTTTCGAATAAATAATTATATTTGCTCTACTCTGTATTGAGCACACTTTTAAGAATAGGATTTTTGGATAATGGAATTTATTCCGTATACTTGTACATACACACACACACACACACACAAAGACACACACACAAAGACACACACAGACATATATATAATGAAATATATATATATATATATATATATATATATATATATATATATATATATATATAAGGCAGAATGTGTGTGTGTGTAACGAATGCACGGCCGCAATTTCCGACGGATTGCACCGAAATTTACATGCACATGCTCCAAGTTAGCAGCAAGGCCAAAATCGACTTTGCATTTCCCAACTCCCATCAATTGTGGAAATAATCGATTTTTTCTTGTTTCTACGGCAGTTTTCATGTAGCTTACATAGATGATTTCTAAGCAACGATAAACAATGACAGACTATCATCACTGTCGTGTCCGTATATTGCTTAATATGTTGTAATTGACATCTTTGATAATGGCTTATGTTAGCCGAAAGCTTAGATTGTATTAAAAAAATATGGATCAGTATTGTGAATTTCTTTCTTCGTTCAATTATAATGTTATTAAACTTATCAGACGTTACGAAAAAATTTTACATAAAATAAATAGACAACACTTGTATATATTATTTAATGAAACGTGTATGAATGAAAAGATGCTGCCAAAATACACACAATATATATATATACAAGCCGGGGTGGGGCACAATGCGTGATGGGGCACAAGGCGGGTTTTTTTTACGTGCAGTATTCCGAGCCCGTACACTTAGGCAAAAATACCCCGTATACACGAGGTCGGGTTTTTCTACCTCCCGAGACGAGACTTTGCTCTTTCGCATAGCCTCGTCTGGGTTCCTCTCCGCCCGAAGGTAGAGAGTCGACAAGGTAACAGTAATCGTTAACTGATCTAAGTCCCTGAATACACCCTGCTGAAAGAAGAAGGCAAGTCGTGGACCTGCGCACATCTCTTTCCGGTAAAAAACGGCATAAATTCCGGTCATGCGCAGGTCTTGTCTTTGATGCTTTGAATTAGTCCGCCGTCATTCCTCCAGCTGACGTCGTCCACGTGAGTAGAGGGCGTACCCTCAAATATTTTTTTCCACAATTCATTTGCATTTTTTTCAGGCAACCTATTTTTAAGACAATTCACGGAACATCTTCTTCGCTCCAAGTTCAACCTTTTTAGAACTTTGTAAATCTAACGTTCAGACGTCCAACCGTGGAGCATTCATCGGCAGGGGTAAGGTTTTGTTTTCCAGACATGTCGCTTTGCATATTTTACATTTTCCTGTACTAAATTGGCGCACCATAATCTTTCATCCCCTTTTCTCCGATACTTTTTACGGTACGAACCTAAACTGAATAAATAACATAAAAAGAAAAATATTGTGACGAATTTTAGATAAAACCGTTCACCCAGGCACGAGAGCCACTCAATATAGAAGATTACAGTTAAAATAGTTACGATGAATGAAATATAATATGAGAGAAATAAGAGGTGGTAAGAAGTGTCGATTATGAGGATAAGGAGGATAGATAACCCTTAACTCTTGATCCGAAGATGTTAATACTGTAGTATTATGGAAGCCGCCAGACATAAGTCTACAAAAAAATTAGCAATTCTTAGTAAAAAGGCTGTTGGAGTGGGAATGTTTCTCTACATGTGAAACATATGCGACTTATGGGTTATTCGGCTCCGTGGAAATAGCATTACGTTGCTTATAGGGATTTACTAAGCGTTGCTTTGCTGGGGCACAAGGCCGAAACTATAATGCTCACAGTAAGGACCGAACTCACTACTCAGTCGCAATTGCTTTAGCGAGATAAGCATGCCAAACCTTACAGCATGGCAAAGTGTCCATGGCGTATCTAAAAGAAAATGTCTGAACTGATGGAATTAAAAAATATACCTCATCTGAACCATTACCAGAGAAATAGGGTTACGACGGCTTGGATCTGCTGGGGGAAGATTTTGATGTACCAGTCTTTCAATTTCAGGGGATATGTCTGCTTTGAAAATCAGAATTCGTTTTCATGGATTTTACATGAGCACGAACGCCAACCTCTGGCAATGGCAGTGGGGATGCAAAGTTAAGATTATCTACGATTCAGAAGACAGCAGAGTCAGTTGCGTTGATGATGTCTTTCTTGGAGTAATTACGAAAACGTCAAACAAAAATAAGTATTGTTTGCAGAGGCTGAGTAAAGAAATGGCGAAAAACAAAGCATAAAAACGCAGAAATGAAATTCGAGAAAAGAAAACGAATTGAAAAAAAAGGAAAGCGTCCATAAAAATGAACGAACGTTTCAAATGCGATAATAAGTTAGATAAGTGAAGAATAACAATGAGTATTTATTTTGGTTCGATATTAGAGCTTTTTTTTATTCTGAATAGAAGGTTAAGTTTATTGTTTGCCGTTTTCTTTTTGTTATTTATTTTGTGAGGGAATGTTTTTTTGAAAGATCTTGATAGGTTGTCTGCAAGAAATGTGTAAATGGTCGAGAGAAGAAGAAGAAGAAGAAGAAGAAGAGGAAAAAAGAAAAGGAGGAGAGGAGGAAGGAGAAGAGGGAGGAGGGGGAGAAGAAGAATGTAGAATGAAAGAAGAGTTTAAACGATCGTAAGACGAAAATTGAGAAGAGGAGGAAGAAGGAGGAATGAAAGAAATGTTTAAACAATAGAGAAGAAGAAGGAGGAGAGGAGGAGGGAGGAGAGGAGGAGGGAGGAGAAGAGGAGGGAGGAGAAGAGGAGGGAGGAGAAGAATATAGAATGAAAGAAGAGTTTAAACGATCGTGAGAGGAAAAAAGAGAAGAGAAGGAAGAAGGTAGAACCAAAGAAATGTTTAAACGATCGAAAGAAGAAAAAGAGGAAGAAGAAGAAAGTACAATGAAAGAAAAGTGTCAACGATCGAGAGAAGAAAAAGAAGAAGAAGAAGAAGAAGAAGAAGAAAAAGAAGAAGAGGGAGAAAGAGAGGAGGTGGAGAAGAAGAATATAGAATGAAAGAAGAGTTTAAACGATCGTGAGAAGAAAAAGGAAAAGAGGAGGAAGAAGGTAGAACCAAAGAAAAGTTTTAAAAATCGAGGGAAGAAAAAAGGGAAGAAGAAGAAGAAGAAGAAGAAGAAGAAAGTACAATGAAAGAAAAGTTTAAACAATCGAGAGAAGAAGAAGAAGAAGAAGAAGAAGAAGAAGAAGAAGAAGAGGAAAAAAGGATAATGAAAGAAAAGGTTAAACGTTCTGGAGAAGAGGAGGGACAAGGTAGAATGAAAGAAAACGATCGAGGAAAGAAGAAAAAGAGGCTGTGAATGAAAGAAAAGTTTAAAAGATCGAGAGTAGAAGAAGAGGAAGAAGAAGTGGAAAAAGAAGAAGATAGAATGAAAAAAAATGCTCAAATGAACAGAAGTTCCGTCCATGGTATTCTCAACATCCTTCTGTTGAACCACATTCCTGTTGACTCAAGTTCTTCTTCGTCTGTGAGAAGATTCTCTAGCATTCAATATGCGAGGGCCGATATTACATAACAGTTCAATACTTTTTTTTTTGTTTCTTATTTTTCATGTTAAATATAATCTTGTCTCACATCTAGTCACCATGGGAAATCAAGTAAATATACTTGGCCTTTGGGCTGCGATAAAAGTTTAGTATTTGCCCTAGGACAGGTTAACTACATTTTATATCGCAATTGCGTCTCTGTCTGAGGGCAGAACGCAACTGGAAATATTTTTGAGTACTACTCGCGGCAGTACCTTTTCTCATTGAAATACCGATGTCAGTATGTGTCTGAGGGATTGCCGGACCCAGGGATTCCAACCGTGTGACAGCTTCTCTCTCGTTGCACTAAAGAGTTGGGGTCGATGTAATATGGACACCAGCGCGACGTTGGCTTTGAGGACCGGGCAGATTTTAGACTTAATCCTGTGCACGTGTTTGGGATACCAACTTTAAACCGGATTTGTGTCATCTCGTCACCGTAGTGTGAGGATGAGTGAAATGCCTGTTCTTTTTTCCTCTTAAATTTATGAGAGAAACCTAAATCAGACGGGTTCGAACCCAGGGGTGGCACTTTTTTCATTGCTCTAAAGAGGAAAGGTTGGTGGTTACCGATGCCAGCGTGACTATGGTCACGGTGATTGGACTGCGTTTATTTATCTCTATCTTATAAAGACACTCCATATTGCCATGAACTTTTGTCACATCTTTCCACTGCGACGCTTTTATATGGCTTTCGTGTTGGGATCAAATTGTAGTTTTCTGAGTCATGATAGACCTAATGCCGCGAATTCCAGCACTGAAGAATAAACATCCTCATTGCTAGAGATAGATAGAAAGAAAGAAATAGAGACAGAGACAGAATGAGAGAGTGTGAAAGAGTGAAAGAAAGAGGGAGAGAGAGACAATGAGAAAGAAAGTGAGAATATCAGAAAGGGAATGAGAAAGAGATAAAGGGAATGAGAGAGAGAGAATAAGAGAAAAAAGATAGAGGAAGAAAAGTAAAACAGAAAGAATAAGAGAGAGAAAGAATGAGAGAGAGAAAGAGTGAGAGAGAGTGAGAAATATATATATATATATATATATATATATATATATAGAAAGTGATAAAGGAACCGAGAGAGAGTGAGGGAGTGTGAAAGGGAACGCGTGAGAGTATGTAAGAGATAGAAAATAGAAAAAGAGTGAGAGAGAGAGAGCGAGTGGAGGAGAATGAGATAGTGGGAGTGAGAGAGAATGAGATAGTGGGAGTGAGAGAGAATGAGATAGTGTGAGTGAGAGAGAATGAGATAGTGGGAGTGGGAGAGAATGAGATAGTGGGAGTGAGAGAGAATGAGATAGTGTGAGTGAGAGAGAATGAGATAGTGGGAGTGAGAGAGAATGAGATAGTGGGAGTGAGAGAGAATGAGATAGTGGGAGTGAGAGAGAATGAGAGTGTGTGAGTGAGAGAGAAAGAGAGTGAGTAAGAGCGATAGAAAAAGGAGAACATGAGAGAGATTGAGAAAGAGAAATAGAGTAAGAGCATGAAAGAGAGAGAGAAAGAGTGTGAGATAAAGAGTGAGAGAGAGAAATAAATAAAGGGAGTGGGTGAGAGAGTAAGAAAGAGAGAGAGAGAGAGAGAGTTGGACGATACCAACTCGCGGCCTAGTTATTGTGGGGACTTGGCAGCTTTAGTTGTTAGCCTAAATATATATATATTTGGACATATTGTTCGGATCTTGGAATGCTTAAGCCTCCGGATATTTTCGAAGACCATGCTTGATCGAACGCTCTGGGCTGACGCTACATAATCATGAACAAAAAACTGCTCCAGATAGCAAAAACTTAAAGACTTCCAACAACCTATTGGAAATATAGCTTTACCAAATAGCTTAAAAACCAAAACATCAAATTGAAAACGGAAGTTATGTTCTTAGATAAATTCGCCAGATCGAGACATTCATATGGATGTCATACATGGCATCAAAACCCGTTCAGAAATATTTAAACTGTCAGCTGCATGCAAATGTTTTCTAAGATCAATTTTTTTTAAGCGTTTCACTCCAACACGCCGGGAATTCACTGGCACGCAAGGGGTTACAGGGAGTTGGAGCGAGAGCAAATAGGAGTGATAGAGGAAAGGATGAATAGAAGGATAGGGGATAGATCAATGCATCTAGAGACGTCGATTGACATTACATTTGAATAGTTGGAGATTATAGCTATCAGGGAAACAGGTAAAGGGAAGGGAGTTCCACAGGCGAGAGGTGCGAGACATGACGCTATTGGAGTAGAAGAGACGGCTACATTTAACAGTTTCGGCAGTGAAAGGATGAGAGCGAGATGCCAGCCTAGTTGAACGCTTAAATTCATGAAGTCTGGGAACCAGCGAAAGCAGGTCATCGGAGCAGTTACTGTGAAAGTATTTGTTAAAAAGACAGAGGGAGGCGACGGCACGTCTGTGAGAGAGCGACTGCAGACGAGATACCAGATCAGGGCCAATTGCATTGCATACCCGTGTTTGGGTTTTATCAAGGACCTTGAGATAAACATAAGGGGCTCCAGACCATATATGGCAGCAATATTCGATGCAAGGGCGAATGGTTGATTTGTATATTTGAAGGATCGACTTCAACCGCGTCATAGGGAGCCAAAATTTCTTTGTGGTGGACGAAGGTATTGACTCAATATATTTGTTCCATCTCATAAGAGCAGACAATGTGAGACCGATCAGTCGCAAAGAGGTGGTCTCCTGGAGTTGAGCATCAGATATTCTAATGGGGAGGCGGCGGCAGGGATGGTTCTCTGCGGTGAGTAATAGAGAGCAGTTTTGTTTTTGAGGCATTAAAGTTAATCAGCCAATTCCTCCCCCAGTCCTTGCGAAAAAAAATCATTTGAGCGTGTAAAGCATGAGGGTCTTGGCAAACGGCAAGCTTCTTTTAACATATTTGGATTGGAATCACAAACAAGGAACTACACCAAAAAACAGAAACTCCATCACTTGAGGACTACCAACAGCGGCAACAATTTAACTGGTTAGCAAATAGAAGTGAAAATAATGACATAATCAGTATGTTAATTGATATAATAGAATATGCGTACACCTGTGTTCCTCCTCACTGGAATATGATTGGCTGGTGTCCGACATAAATACCGACGGACGTGTAGGAGAAGTCAAGAGACTTACTCTGAGAGCTAAGTCTATAATGACGCCCATTACACTACGCCATTGATCTACACTTCTTACCTCCGACTACGACGCGTACCAGTCGATTACTGCTACCGTATTCTATTTGATTATAGTAGCCAAAACAACTTAGCTACTTCGTTCAAATATATCCCTTTCCGGGACATATCATTAACATTCGACACCAGTTCAAATAAAACGTTAGAAAGAAAACCCCCATCAACACTGGAAAGAGCTATAAAATCTGCTGGACATGAGAAACCTATTTTCCTGAAAAATTGTTTGAATAGATTTTTTTAGAAATTTCAACCGACGTCAGTACTGGCTGCTCGGTCAATGAATGCCGAATGTTTCCTTAGAAGGAAACGGCTAATATTTCAATAAAAATTACCATATTGCATCGATATTGTATCACATCATTCCACCAGAGAGAAGTATCTTAATACGTCAGTGTCCCTTTATTCGGTCGAATCAATGTTCATGGAAAAGATTTGGGGAATGCCACGTTCCGGGGATTTCAAGAATACAGCAGAAGCTCTTTTAATGTACTACAGAGGTAAGAATGATGGATACTGGGCCTAGCGAGGTATAAGGTGACTGGGGAATGTGTGTCTTTGGTCCACATTTACGTGTACGTGCACTCCACATTAGACTCATTTTCTACCGGAGCCTCGTACTACCGGAGGGTGGGTACGCAAATACTATCGTAGCAAGCGAGAGAAGAAGGGAAGAAGGTGAGAATTCAGAGCAATAAATAAATAAACAAGGAAGTAAAAACACAGACCAAAATAACACACGAAAAAAAGAGAGTAGCATACGCAACAACAACAACAACAAAAAAAACTAAAACGAAACACGATGAACAAGCAAAAATAGACACACATGAACACACTCACATGAACGCAATAAATACACACACGTGAACACACTCGCTTAAACACACACCCCGCATAAACACACAAACATAAACACACACACACATAAACGCATGAACGCATACATAAAGACGCGCATAAACAAACACACACACTCAGATGAACACAAACACATAAACACACACACGCACATGAACACACAAACATAAACACACACATAAAGATGCATACCCACACGTACATGAACACAAACGCATAAACACACACTCACACACAGATATATATATATATATATATATATATATTGTGTAACCCGGATGTAAGAGAACCGGATATAAGAGAAACCCGGATATAAGAGAGATTTTTTCTGGTCCCAAATTAGAGCCTGTGTTAATGTATATAAAATAGACCAAACCCGGATATAAGAGAAAACCGCATATAAGAGACTTCTCCGGTCCCGACCACTCTCTTATATCCGGGTTACACTGTATATATATATATATATATATATATATATATATATATATATATATTATGAAATGGTCAAAGTCCGACAATTACTTTAAGACATTTTTATGTTTACACATTCGTTGTTTAATACTTAAGTAAATGCAATGTTTTATAATAAACATTATTAAACAACATTTACCGGCTTGAATGTCCGAGAAATTTTGTTGGAAGACGAATATTTTCTGTGAAAATTTCTCGGATATTCAGGCCGGTAAATGTTGTTTAATACTGTTTATTATAAAACAGTGCATTTACTTAAATATTTGTATCTATAAAAAGAATGTATAAACGTAAAAAACGTCTTAACACACACACACACACACACACATATATATATATATATATATATATATATATATATATATATATATATATATGATGCACAAATAATAAACAAAGCTGGAGGGGAAGACAAAAATGCCGAAACACATAAAACAGCAGAAAAACAAACAAACAAACAAACAAACAAAAACAAAACAAAAAAGTTTTTGTACAGGCATTTATTGAAAAGGTAATATGAAGAAGTCGTTATCGAACGGAATAACATGTCTGACATGTAATTAAGGCTGCATAATTTATTTTTTAGAGATTTTTTCTTCTTCTTTACGTATTTGTAATTACGATAAAATTTATATTATTAGTGATATTTAGTTACCGCCCCACGTGGGTTGTATGTGACACAAGGCCGGGTTAAACGTGGGATCTCCGAGCCCGTAGGCTCGGCCAAAAATATTCCCTCTTTGAACCCGCATAAACGTGTTCAGGGGCAGTCAACCACCCCGAACGAGACTCTGCCCTTCGGCGGAGTCTCGTCCGGGTTCCTCTCCGCCCGAGGGCAGAGAGATTTTTTGTGGACCCACGTGCTTGAGTAGACATCTCTGTTTGTTTTAAAAAAATAATAACTGACGTCTACCGGGTTAAGCAGCAAAAAAAAAAAAAAAAATATGCCTTTGTACAGGGATCGTATATACGCCCATTTTCTTTTTTTTTTTTGCGGACTCGAAAATAGATAAGGGCCCCATGAAAACTCCCGAAAACGGATGTAGAAAAAACTGGGTACGGTAGAGTAGTGGATACCGGCTCGGACTGAGGAATCGGAGAATCCAGTCGAATCCGTTACCTTTACTTACTTGATAAAACCCTTGTGAAAGGTATGAGTCCTCTTCTTCACCCCCCAGCTATGGGTAAATAGAAGGACAGACCAGGTTCTATAGCCTAAGATGACAACTGGTCCACAGCAGAAAGAAATGGCAACTTACTGCGGAAAAAAATCTGCCTCGTCAGTCATGTATCGAAAGATACATGATCGCGCAAGCGTGTATCACACATGTCACATAACTGACTGAAGGGTATCTGAACCTTAGTCAGCTGCGTAATCTCTCTTTGAAGTACACCCAGTTCGATGTGACTTCCCAAATAAAATAAGAATACGTATGTTCGAAGGCAAACATATTGTTTGTTAGGCGTGTAGACGTAAATCATAAAACGCAAAAAACAAACAAACAAAAAACAAATAAAAAAACAGATGTCTATTCAAACACGAGTAACCACAAAATCTAACGGTTACGTAAATAATGCCTGATTATAAGTAAAAACAATCAATTCTTCAGGTGTTTTCACACATATATTCAGTCACATAAACACACACACACACACACACATAAACAAACACGCCCACACATACAAACATACAAATAAACACACTCATGCACATCAACGCAAACATACACATAAATACAAACAAAGAAAACCACATACATAAACACACTCACAATTAAACACATGTAAACAGAAATAGACACACACGCACTCAAAAACAGTCGCGCACACATCTACACATAAAACATACGCATACATAGACACACATAGCTAAGCCTATACATGCATATAAACACATTCTCAACCCATACACACATAAACACATAGGTTAGGCACGCAAACTTAAAACACACAAAAACACAAACACACACACACACACACACACACACACACATGAACACACGCGCACATATATACACCCATGCATGAACAGAGATATATATATATATATATATATATATATATATAGAGAGAGAGAGAGAGAGAGAGAGAGAGCGAGCGAAAGAGAAAAAATGTGCAAGTTGAGGTCAACATCCAGGAGAATATTCTTTTTCATACATAAACGCCATCTTAAGACTACATATGTTGTGTTTTGAATCGTCTATTCATATATACTGGTCAATGGTGCATTATGGGCTGTTATATTATCATAACGTTTCTTGGGCTGGCGGTAAGCGTTATGTTTCAAATTATTCTATGGCCGTTGAGTGGGAATAATTGTGGATCTGAATGCAGTTATTCGTAGTTAATGTATAGTATTGTTTGTTAACATTTAATCATTATTTATAATTGCTTATTATTATTATTATTATTATTTTTATTATTATTACGTATAATTGTGTTTATGCCTGTATTCGTAGTTTTTTTTTAATTTGTTTATTATTTACACTATTTCCATTATTCGGACTGCTATTCTCATCTTCATAGCTATATTCACAGCGTTTAGGCCGTTGTACACTCTAGCCTTCTTCGGGTGAGTGGAATTTTGAATCGAACCCTTTATTTCGTCCACTTAGGTAGATTGTTCTAGTTCCACATGCCATGCCTCTTCCTCACTTATTTCCCTTTAACTCAACTCTCAAACTTTTGGGGCTCACCATTGCTTGGTATTGAACTCACAAATCTGGTCCAGTTACTGGATCTAACTAACGTTTACTGGTCTATGTGTCTTCGTGGACAACTGTGTATGAAACGTTTTGGGTATGGCAATGAAGATGAGGATAACAGTCCGAATAAGGTAACTAAAAATAGAAATTAATATGCCACCAAAGAAAATCAAACAACCAACATTAAAGAAGTTTCGATATAATATCCTACAAATTCTTGAATCAAACGCTTTTTCAAAATATAACTTCAACAAAACTACAACATAAAACACACATATCAGAGCCTCTAGGAATCATGGCCACACAAAAATGTATATATACAAAACCTGAGTATTATCTACCATGTATTCAATTGCGAAAGCAGAATAACGTATATCATTTTTATTACTTCAAATCTCCCAAGGAAATTAAATTTCGGCATTAAATGACCCATAAGGAGTCGATATTCCGTAAAACAAAGGGGATAAAACCGAACCGCTACAAATTAATTATTTAAATTAATTATTGATTTAAATTAAAGATTTAAAATTTTATAAATCATTCTAATTAAAATAAAAAAAAAAAAAATGAATACGAATAATGTAATTCATGTAAATAATCATAATATCTCATCTTAGAGATATAGAAAGATATATAATTATTTGTTTGTTTATTTATTTATTTTGGATTTTTGTTTATTTGTTATTGATGTTTAGTGTTAACTTTTTTCTTTTCTTCCCGGGAGTTGTTTATTAACGTTTTTAATAGTGATGACTTTATTCGGAGTGCAAAATTAATTTCAACTTCACACACCGCGACGCGAATGAGTCCGAACTTTTATTGTCGATAACTCTAAAATTTTCTTTGCTTAATTTTCGAATTAAGCATGTACACTTACACCTAAAGGGAATTTTTTTTTTTTTATTAGAGACTGGGTGAGAGGTTTGAACTGCAAATTACCCTATAGTGAACAAAACAAGATCTAGATTTAAAATTCAAAACAAGATCTAGATTTAAAATTCAAAACAAGATCTAGATTTAAAATTCAAAACAAGATCTAGATTTAAAATTCAAAACAAGATCTAGATTTAAAATTCAAAACAAGATCTAGATTTAAAATTCAAAACAAGATCTAGATTTAAAATTCAAAACAAGATCTAGATTTAAAATTCAAAACAAGATCTAGATTTAAAATTCAAAACAAGATCTAGATTTAAAATTCAAAACAAGATCTAGATTTAAAATTCAAAACAAGATCTAGATTTAAAATTCAAAACAAGATCTAGATTTAAAATTCAAAACAAGATCTAGATTTAAAATTCAAAAACAAGATCTAGATTTAAAATTCAAAACAAGATCTAGATTTAAAATTCAAAACAAGATCTAGATTTAAAATTCAAAACAAGATCTAGATTTAAAATTCAAAACAAGATCTAGATTTAAAATTCAAAACAAGATCTAGATTTAAAATTCAAAACAAGATCTAGATTTAAAATTCAAAACAAGATCTAGATTTAAAATTCAAAACAAGATCTAGATTTAAAATTCAAAACAAGATCTAGATTTAAAATTCAAAACAAGATCTAGATTTAAAATTCAAAACAAGATCTAGATTTAAAATTCAAAACAAGATCTAGATTTAAAATTCAAAACAAGATCTAGATTTAAAATTCAAAAACAAGATCTAGATTTAAAATTCAAAAAAAGATCTAGATTTAAAATTCAAAACAAGATCTAGATTTTTAAA